TATGTTTATATGCATCATATTCTTCCACATCGTTCCTATTGTTCCAACCGAAGTGAACATTAACATTTTCATTAATTTTTTTGTAAACTTGTCTTGGACTGTGAACATTTTTCGGACCTCTGCACAAGCAACTTAATAAAAAGTGTAATAGCTAGTATTTAAATTTTTCTTATTCATTTTTTATAATGTTTCATTTTTTGTACACTATTGTTGTACAAAAAAATCGTATATAAGTGTACTGGTAACTGTGTGTAATGCATATAAATGTTGTATTGATAAGATTTATAAAAATTGACGTGTAACATATGCATGTTATCGACAACGGGCAATGAATCATTGCCAATGATGAAAAGATAAATGCGTACTGGCGTCAAATGTGTTGAAATTAAAAAAAAAAAAATTCAGAATAATCCAAGCACCGTACTTCATTGATTTGCATTGCTATTTATTTATTTTTCTTATACAATTACTAAGATTTCTACATTAAGTTCAAATTATTATACACGCGATATGATATATATTATTATTATTATTATTATTAAACTCGGAGATGTATATTTTTTATTAACTTTTTTCAACATTTAATCTAAAAATGTGATAACCATCAACAAATTAGTAGTGGCTATAAGCAGTGTAATATTTTTTCTCACAACTTCATTTCAGTGGAAATAGGGAAAATATGAATGACAAATATTTACACTCTCGACATACAATAAAGTTTAATACGAATACAAATCCAATAATTAGAAATAAGAAAAGATATTATACTTTAAATGTATTTGTAAGAAAATCACATTTTTAAATGCTTTTAATTGAACGTTATCTATTCCAACAAAAAAATTAATTTACAATACGGGACAGGAAGACAAGTCAACAAAAATAGTACGATAGGCAACCAAATATTCATCGTAATTATAACACATATTTTTTACGAGATTATAAATTGAGTGCTTGCATATTATACAATAGTTATTGACTTAGTATTTCTGCTCCACTTTGTATATTTATAGGTATAGTATTTAATTAAAGAAATAATATTATAACAATATTTAAATTGATCTATTCTTTTATGATACTAAGTGTAGCAATATTTATTTGATAATATATTTGATATCAATATTAAAAGTTTCTGATAAGAAAACTAACTTTACGTTGGTATTTAAAGATATATTATAATTAAATGTCTAAATGCTATTTATATGTACTTATAAAAGTTAATAATATTATCAAGTGCAAATTACCTATTCATTTAAAATACGAATAATTGATAATTACCATGAGAATATGGTATTTTGCAGAATTAAAAATTTAAAAATGTAAAACTTAAAATTTTCAACAATAAAAATACATTTTTCACGTGTTTTATAGAATAATATTTTGAACACGATGCAAATATATTTTTTAAATTCTTATTTAGATATTTTGAAATATTTTATGCAGATCATAACTTATATTCCATTTATGTTTGTATTTCGTTTAGAGTACATGACTGAAAAACAATTAAAAATTAATTTACTACACAAAATTTTCTTAATCCAATAAGGCCACTTAATGCTACTTACATATTTCATGAAAACGTCGATAAAATATAACCGAAATCAATTATACGCATTATACTAATTATATATATTTATTTAATCATTTATTTTTATTTAAACACTTAATTTGTAATATAAATAATAAATAAATTAAACCATGTAATTTTAATATCAGTAAATTATTTTGTCACCAGTGTATATATATTTTTTACTACTTTACTACTTATTAACAATTATTACGAGTGAATTAAGTATTTTTAATTCAACGAAAACAATTTTGATGTATTACACGACTGTTTTTTGGTTACTAATTCGTTTTTTTTTTTTTTAAATAAATATAGAATATAAAAATTTGATAATGATAAAGTATTATCAATCAATAATCATTGAAAGGTATTGAAAAATGTTTATCTATTGACCGATAAATATTTAATAACAATCACTACTGAACTTGGTTTTTAAATTATATTTAGTATATATTTATTGTTAATTTTACTTTATCTGCTTCGTTCAAGGAAAAATAATTATTAATACTTCTAAAAGTATAAAAATATTTCAACCAGGTTTGTTTTTGTTAATCTCATAAATTTCATAGCATTACATTTGGTCATAAACTTACAACTTTTAAGTACCTATAAGACATATATTATATCATTAACATGTTAATAAGTAGAATTAAATATTTCACGTATCCTTTAAATATTTAACAGGAGATTAAAAGTTGTAAAATAAAATTAACTTATATCAATTAGAATAAATTATTTTGACAACCAAATAAAATCAGTTTTAATATGGACGTTTAGTATACAAATTTTAATTTTGTAAAACCTTAATATAACCTTGCGTATAAATATTCAATAATGTTAAAAGATTATCATTATAAACACGATATGATAAAATATCGTATTTGTTTATAAAAAAAGTGTAAAATTTAATGAACGTGTATACCTTTTTTTATAAAATACATTTTGTCAGAATTATAAGCGAAAATCTGATTTTTTTTTTCACACAGATCAGTCATTTTTTAAGTATCAACTGATTAGTTTGGAATTAGGTTAAAATTAAAATAAATAATATATGACTAAATTTATTTCAGTTAATTTCAGTGATATTTCCAAAAATATTTTAATAGTTTTCAACTATTTCACCACTAGTTGAAACAATTTTATTAAGTTAATTATTTTTCAAACTTTCAATTAAACCTTCAACTAAATGGAACATAGATACATCAAATTTTCAGAGAAGATTTTGTTGTCATTTTACTTTAAAGGTTGACTTGTTTTCGAAGTAATTTTAAATATCAAACATTAAAATCATTTCAGTAGGTAGTTGAATACAATTAATTTTCTGATGTTCAAGAAGAAAAGACTAAAGAAAGTAGGGTTATGAAATACACCTAGATACGTTTGTTTTCATTGGAATATACTATTGAAATTATGTTCACCTTCAAATATAATTATTTCAAAATGTTGGTTAAAAAAGATAACCAATTTCAGAAATGCTTCTGTTTTTGATAAAATTGAATTTACCTAGATAAAATTATATGGGGTCTATTTGGGTTTGTAATACGATCAACTTGCAAAATATTTAAAACTATGTTAAGACTGTTTTTATTATAAATAATTAGATGAAAAATGATTTTATGTGTGATATACAAGCTTAAAATGATAAATATACAAACTTTATAGTATTTGCATCTCTGTTACTCCACGGTTTGGTTATTATTATACTTATTAATGTTATAAACACCAGTCATATTTTTCCTTACTGTCTTTTTGATATCTCAAGATAATTTATAATATATTAATACTACAAGACGGAAGAAATTATTTTTATTAATTATTTTTGTAACGGAATCAACGTTTTCGATGTATTTTTACGGTTGGTATTTTTTACTAAGTACATTTTCAATAATCAAAGGAGTATGGGAATTATTGGTTTTAATGAAATACTTTTTTTTTCTGTTAGATTAAACGTTGCTGCGATAAATAAAGATTCAACAATTTTTACAATGTTTAATAAACTGATTGACAATTGCTCAAAAATTGTTTTTCAAGAACGTAAAAGTTACAAGATTCTGGAGCTCCAGAAAAATTCTCTGTCACTTTTGGCTAAATTAAATCCCACTGAAAAATCGCTATTAGAATGTGAAAATAATCTCAATCTTGCGCTATGACAAGCAAAATAAGATCATTTCCTATCATTGAGTTGTATAGATTACACGGTTTCACGATTTTGGAAAAAACTATATATTAAAATAACAGTAGTCAATCTTAAGTTTTGAGATTGTTTTGAATATTTCTATAATATAATCATTCAAATAATTTCAATCTGTATGAAACAATTTCATAATATTATACAGGTGTCTACAATTTTTTTTCTTACGGTATTCAACATTTTCAATTTACATAATCACTCGACCAAAAGTAATGCAATTATCTTTTTTACTATTTCTTACGCATACCTGTTTATAAAATAAGATGAAAAAATTTGATCATTTTTTCATGTTTTGTATCCATTTGAATAAATATATTTTGAGAAATACATCGAGGAAAGTAATTGATATTTCTATAAAATGTGTGCTGGTAAACTTATTGAATAATGTTTTATTTTTCAAATACACATGTAGCGTTTTTTTTTTTTTTTTAAACAATGTTCACCATCAATGATAATCATTCTTTTGTTCTTATGAGGAAATAGATACAACCGTGAAAATACAATACAATGAAAATTCAAATAAAAATACTAATAAAAATCTAAGCGTGTAATTTCAATTAAAAATGTTACCAGTAGCTAAAGGTTATTAATCGGTCGCGTGTGACCGATTAACAATAGTATTTAGAGCCTGAAAGATCGTGTTTTAACTAAACGATTCGAAAAATAGGTAGGTACTCGTACATTTAAATGTGAATCACGGCCGACGAAAGGAAAAAAAAATTATATCACTATGTAGTACGATTTCAAATACCTAGAAACGTTTAGACATACATGTACGTTTCCGTATATTAATATTATTTTACATTGCTTATTTATATTGTAATTGATTTTCAAACACGTATTATAAATATTTCGGTCGTATACCGTTTCGTATTAATTCGTTGGCGAATGTGAGTTATCTTTTAACAGTTGGCGATTATGAAAACGTAAAAAAAGTAAAATAATTATTGTGTTCCGTTGAACTTTTTTTTTTTTTTTTGTTATCTTAACCTATTATATCTTATGTCACCACGTTTTAAGTACACGATTATTATTTTTATTTTTATTTTTTCCCAATAATTCAATCTATCCGCGATGCGAGCACGACATAGAAAAACAATCGAAAACCGAAGGCATAGGTGTTTTGTACACGTGTGGAAACGTTATTTTCTAGACTTTTCTAGCGGACGATAATCATTCGACAACCGGTGCGACCAACTAATACGATTGAGTCGTTGTTAATTATTTTTTTACACTTATACTCACGTGACTGCGTCGGAAAACGGTGTCGTCCCGGTTTTTACCGGTCTACCGGGATGTGTACGCGAGAACAGGTTGCGCGCGGACGGATCGCGGATTTTCGGGCGCGCACTCTCGGTCTCGCGGCGTCAAAACGTACACAAAACGTAAAAACGGTCTGACGTCGGACGCGACACGCGGAAAAGCGAGAACGTGACGCGCGGTCGTGTGATGACGACGACGACGACGTGCTGCTGCGTGGCGGGCGATACGCGATAATCGCGCGCGTACGGACACGTCCCGGCGGACAACTATGACGCGGGGGCGATAAATGTGACGTCCGGGAGCGGAAAAACGCACAAACACGGCACACACACGTGCGCGCGGCCGCGCACGGGACGATGCGAAATCGTGAGGTCGAACGCCGTGCGGTTGTTCGGTCGCGGCGGAATGTTGTATTGTCGGCAGAACAAGTCTACTGCTGATACGTTCCCGAAGGCGCGAGATGTGCACGCCGCCGTTCGACCACTTCTTAACGGCCGCGCGCGCCACACGTACCGCCGACGGTTCAGCCAATGGCGATCGGGCGTATCGGCGCCGCGGCCGACTCGAAAAGTTCGTCGCTCACTTGCGCGCACACACACTGGCGTACACGCGCGCGCGCCACGCACGCACACACGTACAACCGTACCCGTAATCTCACGTAACCGTTTTGGAGTGTGCGCGGACGTCTTATTATTACGTCCTTCGACGCGTACCGGATAAATACGTTCGCGCGTGTAAACGAATTAATCGTCGCCGCGCGTATTTTACACGCGCGTTATCGCACGATCGCCGTTGTCGCACGGACGACATCACACGAATTCCCGCGCATCAAGCCCGTTATCGGTCGAAACGGTTTTACATTTCACTACGGGCATTGCCCGAAACCGTCGATCGGCGGTCCCCCACTCGAAGGGTCCGTTTTACAGGGTCGTGCGAACGCAATGCGATACGACCTGCTGCTTGGAAAAATGAATTTGTCGCGCGAAAATACACGTGGCGAGTTTTCTCTCTGAATGAATTATGTTTACTTGCCCCGACGGGTTTGTTTTGTAGACCCATAAAATACTCGTATACGCACCAGCGCATTTTGCTCGTAGGAATATCGAAACCGTCGAACGTGAAACGCACAAGGATCCACGAGGCGATTGTTAAAAATCGGACCGTTTATCCGTCCCAATATCCTGTCCATTTCTACCCGTGACTCCGTCCCCGGTCGTAAATGAACATCGAACACGGTAGGTCCGTTGAGACTGGGTGTTCGATGTGGTCAATCATTTGATTACCTTCGTTGCAATGGCGGTAGAGAATATCGCATTCCTGTCGACGGGTTTGCATTTATTTTCGTTTTGCATTTCGATTTCATTTTCACGTTACTTTTGCATCGATCGAGGAGAACGAACGAAAATATTTTCCGAAAACGATTGCACGCAACATTGCACACGCGGCATACTAATTGTACACATTGATTTAGATAGGCGTAAAACGAAATCACATAATCGACGCTGCGGTGCCTTACCTAAATTTGCATGTAATTTGTAGTGTACTATATTATAATTATGTACGGTAGTAGGTTGTGCAAGCACTCGACGACAGTGTGTTTGAAAGTCATATGCGTATCGTCGGATGGTAATTATTTGTGCGGAATGTCAAATGTATTTCATCGACTTCAGTGCATCATGTATTGATGTTGTATCATAACGAAGCATTACCAAATTCAATAATGTACGTGTTACGAGTATACGTCGAGTGCACCATGTACAAGATATCACGTACGTGTGTAATTACATGTTTAAACTTTTTTTTTTTTTTTTTAATAGTAAAACGTATAGACCATCAAAGACGGGATTTAACTAGTTAGTTTATTTTCTAATAAAAATTTAAACTCTACTGGTTTAATTTACAGTTGAAATAATTTAGCTATTCACAGTTCATTTAAAAATGATCTATTAAGTTTAAAAATGTTAAAATTTTTCATTTATACGTACATTTTAATATAAAAATTAAGTAATTGTATTAAGTAAAATGGTCGCATACATTATACATCAGATGTCATATTAGATTTTGTTGGTTAAGGGTCCACTTTTGGGTATTGGATTCTGGCCGCTGATACAAAATGTTACGTATAAAAATTTTTTACTATAAAAATAAATAAATACAGCAGTGAGTGGCACCTTGATGAACTAAATTGCATAGCATTTTTCACACTTCGGCGTCACTGCTGAGTATTATGATAAAAAATTCAATAAAATTGTTTATTATAACTTAGGAAATTAAATTTTTCTAAAGAACGCAGTCACTTTTTATGTGATCTACATTCTAATTAATAAAAGTAAATTAACTTTTTTTTAAACTGAATTGAGTTAATATTTGTATCCTTATTAACTTATAACTTATTGAGTTAAATTTATGAAATGTTAACTGTTAACTTTTAATTTATCGATCTTGTGTTCTCTTAACTTAACTGAACTTGAGTGAATTAATTTCATGAACTTGCCCACCTTTGCAAACCATACGTACACCAATAAGGACACGTAATATTATTTGCGTACGTACCAAAACATTTGTTAATATATGAAGGGCGAAATGAATTCGGTCGCCGATCAAATCCCAAACTTAATGAGACTCAATGAAATGTCAATGGGATATTTTCTTCAGCCTTTTTTTTAGGAACGATTCTGAATATGTGCAATATTACGTCATTTTATTATATAAGAAACGTGTACTCGTATTATAAAGATTTCTAAAAATTATTGAAACCTAAAACCGAAATGTCAGAATATTTAAGACATTAAAAGAACATTTAAAATTCGATAAAAAATGCAGCATTTTTGACCAATTGTATTTCTGATACATCTCGGTTTCTTGGAAAACGAAATAATCGTTCGTGATTCCTTCATGATGTGGATCACGTGTTACCCAATGCAAATAAAGTATAGTCGTCCACTCATTGCGTGATGTTATTGCTCACTAATTCGCATTACATATATATTTTTTTAAATATTTGTTTAATTTTTCCCTGTAGAGTTTTATGTTTTTAGTTATATTTTTTTTAGACTTAAATTAACTATTTAAATTTTAAATTTTTGACAAATATTAAATACCTGAAATGTTACCATTTGAAAATCGTCAAACATATTCATCGATTGGCAGTCGTTCAGTTTTATGGTGATTGACATTTTCAAGTATCTTTAAAATTGCTATAGGAGTGCTTACTTTTATAATCTAGTTCAACTTAATATGTTGTTCAACAAGTAAGTTAGTGCATATTCATATACTAAATAATATATTCACTGTATACAATAATTTATTTGAATGGCTATAATAGACATGCGAGTTGTAATTGAAACTAAGTATAAAAATAAAAATAAATTAAATAAATAAATAAACATGATAATTTCTATACTTTAGTACTTGATGCTTTATATTGAATGAATGCCGAAATTGAATCTTATAAGTATAAAGATTAAAATGCTCTAAGCATGTAATTTATTACTAGAAATATAAATTAACGTTTGTTTTTTTTTTATAATAAAATAAAATTATTAGAAATTATGAATATATGTTAGTTACTTAAGTTACTTTATATTTTATTATGATTTTTATGTGAAAAAAATAACAATTCCTATATGTTAATACTAAAAGAACATACTCGGTACGTTAAACAAGCTAAGCGTATCTAGTAGGTTACTCACTTTATGTCCTAAATACTATTTGTTTTACGAGTTAACTGAGGCTTAGAGTGCCTTTAGAGATACCCATATTTAGTAATCCATTACTACACAGAGTATTATAATGTACATCTTATTTATTATTTCATTTTATAAAAAAAAAAAAAAAAAAAAAAAAAAAAACTATGATAGTACTGAAACATAGATCAACTTAATCTTTGAGTAAAATACTATATATTGTGATAAATATATTATAATACAATTTTGAATAAGCTTGAAAGTAGTTATATACCGTCGTATTATAAAAAATATTGTGATTGAAGCCTGATTATACCAAAAGTATAATTAGACTATTTAGTATAATATATTTAGAATATACTAAATAAAATATTATATTTTATTATTTTTCTAAATTTTCTGAAACGTACCAAAAAAATTGTATATGTTTGTACTGAGATTACAATTTTCAAAACAAAAAATAAGATTTAACTTAATATAAAAATAGTTTGAGAAAACTTACTCATAAAAATATAATTTAGAAACTATAATTACGAGTTTGTCATTTTTAACTATAGTCGAAATTCATTAGCATTAAATTTTTATTATTAAGTAGGTTTTAGACTCAACATTTTATAAAATAGGATTAAATAGAGTTTTTAACATACATAAAAATAATGAGTTATGTCATACTTGAGAGTAAAAAATATTAATATTCATAAAAATATTCAAACTAAATTATTTTATTTTTAGGGGAATGGTTTTTATAATCTTTTAATCGGTGATCAATTTTAAAATCATTAAACATAATATTATAACATTTCTATAGTAAGATTATTCTTAGTTTTTCTTTATAATAGAAAAACAACAAAAACTCCAAAAACGAGATATTTAAATAATTTTTTTTATCTAGTTCTTTAATAAGGATGTTATATAAGGCTTTTGGTGTAATTTATTTTTTTGGACATGTGATCATCTAAAAAAATATATTATATTTAATTTAACTTTTATATTTTATCACAAACCTTGTTTTCTTGAGAATTTATAAATTAAAATTATAACATCCTTAATTTTTTCTTCAATTATTACATTCTTAATGTTATTAAACGTTAAGTAATTCCTTAGAATTAAAAAATATTCAGCTCTAAATATTTAAAATATATTTAAAAAATGTTTAAAATGCACAAAAATAATTAATGTTTTTTTTTTTTTTTTTTTTTTTTTTATATCATATCAACTCTAAAACCATTTTATTAGAATTTTATGATTTACCATTATTTTCTGATTTATTCAATACATACATATACAAAGAACATAAACTCGGAAAACAGTGTACAAGTGTTAAGTCTAATAGATATATTTTTTCAAATTTTCAAATTTCTCATTTGTTGTTAAAATAATATCAATCATTTGGAGATTTATCTTTGACATTTTAATCCGAGTATGGAAATTTGATTTGATTAAAATGAATAATTCATTAATTATTAAACATCCATATGATAAACCAAGCTAAATCATAACTGTACTCAGTCATACACAAAGTATGTGGAAGTTTGTGTAGGTAAAAATATGATTCAGCACACATTTATACATACCCATAGCGAACGTGAAAATAAATGTTCAAATGAAATAAGTGTTACTGCAAGAGTAGTATACAGATATGTATTTACTTTATACTCGAAACAATTTTAACAAAGTATTTACTACATTACAGTTGAAATGAATTTTAAAATTTTATATTTGAGTAATTGCATTTCATCTGCTAAACCTATAAATGAAATATGTAAGTGGTTAAGGTCAATTGTAACATTGATCATAACATATACACACAAAGGTACATGTACACCCACGTATACAAAAATA